GCTCCAGGTGAAACTTGTCTAAAGGTGGTCTCCAGCTCCAGGTGAGATACAAGTGAACCTTGTCCAAAGGTGGGTTCCAGCTCCAGGTGAGATACAGGTGAACCTTGTTTAAAGGTGGTCTCCAGCTCCAGGTGAGATACAGGTGAACCTTGTTTAAAGGTGGTCTCCAGCTCCAGGTGAGATACAGGTGAACCTTGTTTAAAGGTGGTCTCCAGCTCCAGGTGAGATACAGGTGAACCTTGTCTAAAGGTGGTCTCCAGCTCCAGGTGAACCTTGTTTAAAGGTGATCTCCAGCTCCAGGTGAACCTTGTTTAAAGGTGGTCTCCAGCTCCAGGTGAGATACAGGTGAACCTTGTCTGAAGGTGGTCTTCAGCTCCAGGTGAGATACAGGTGAACCTTGTCTAAAGGTGGTCTCCAGCTCCAGGTGAAACTTGTCTAAAGGTGGTCTCCAGCTCCAGGTGAGATACAGGTGAACCTTGTCCAAAGGTGGGTTCCAGCTCCAGGTGAGATACAGGTGAACCTTGTCTAAAGGTGGGTTCCAGCTCCAGGTGAGATACAGGTGAACCTTGTCTAAAGGTGGGTTCCAGCTCCAGGTGAGATACAGGTGAACCTTGTCTAAAGGTGGGTTCCAGCTCCAGGTGAACCTTGTCTAAAGGTGGTCTCCTGCTCCAGGTGAACCTTGTCTAAAGGTGGGTTCCAGCTCCAGGTGAACCTTGTCTAAAGGTGGGTTCCAGCTCCAGGTGAACCTTGTCTAAAGGTGGGTTCCAGCTCCAGGTGAACCTTGTCTAAAGGTGGGTTCCAGCTCCAGGTGAACCTTGTTTAAAGGTGGGTTCCAGCTCCAGGTGAACCTTGTTTAAAGGTGGGTTCCAGCTCCAGGTGAACCTTGTTTAAAGGTGGTCTCCAGCTCCAGGTGAACCTTGTTTAAAGGTGGTCTCCAGCTCCAGGTGAGATACAGGTGAACCTTGTTTAAAGGTGGTCTCCAGCTCCAGGTGAACCTTGTCTAAAGGTGGTCTCCAGCTCCAGGTGAGATACAGGTGAACCTTGTCTAAAGGTGGTCTCCAGCTCCAGGTGAACCTTGTTTAAAGGTGGGCTCCAGGTGAACCTTGTCTAAAGGTGGTCTCCAGCTCCAGGTTAACCTTGTTTAAAGGTGGTCTCCAGCTCCAGGTGAGCTCTATCTAAAGGTGGTCTCCAGCTCCAGGTGAACCTTGTCTAAAGGTGGTCTCCAGCTCCAGGTGAGCTCCAGGTGAACCTTGTCTAAAGGTGGTCTCCAGCTCCAGGTGAGATACAGGTGAACCTTGTTTAAAGGTGGTCTCCAGCTCCAGGTGAACCTTGTTTAAAGGTGGTCTCCAGCTCCAGGTGAACCTTGTCTAAAGGTGGTCTCCAACTCCAGGTGAGCTCCAGGTGAACCTTGTCTAAAGATGGTCTCCAGCTCCAGGTGAGATACAGGTGAACCTTGTTTAAAGGTGGTCTCCAGCTCCAGGTGAGCTCTATCTAAAGGTGGGTTCCAGCTCCAGGTGAACCTTGTTTAAAGGTGGTCTCCAGCTCCGGGTGAACCTTGTTTAAAGGTGGTCTCCAGCTCCAGGTGAGCTCTATCTAAAGGTGGGTTCCAGCTCCAGGTGAACCTTGTTTAAAGGTGGTCTCCAGCTCCAGGTGAGCTCTATCTAAAGGTGGGTTCCAGCTCCAGGTGAACCTTGTTTAAAGGTGGTCTCCAGCTCCGGGTGAACCTTGTTTAAAGGTGGTCTCCAGCTCCAGGTGAGCTCTATCTAAAGGTGGGTTCCAGCTCCAGGTGAACCTTGTTTAAAGGTGGTCTCCAGCTCCGGGTGAGGTCCAGGTGGTGGGCTCCAGCTCCAGGTGAGGTCCAGGTGAGCTCTCTCACTGAGCCTAAGAGCTCAAACAGAAACTAACACACATTCATTCACTGGCGGAACAGCCGCCAGGGGCAGTTCGGGGTTCAGTATCTTGCCCAAGGACACTTGGACATGCAGCCTGGAGGAGCCGGGATTGTCTCAGCAGTAGTTGAGACAGTGAGGGTTCTGTAGGCCGAGTAAATGTCAGGTTTCCAGGTCCGACATGTCAGAGCAGCGACGTCCTCGTCTGTGTTTCTGACTGAACAGACTTTCCATACGTTTGTCCGCCTCAGGCTGCCGTAGTCCTCTCCGCTGCAGAGCACATTAACTCAGACTGAAGGTTACAGTAAAGCTGGTTTTTACACCGGTGGTGGATCACGGAGGTCTCTACATGGCTCTGGGTGAAACGCGTCTCTACCGCTTCACCGACAGATGCCAGGTTCAAACCTCAGATGGGTTGTTAACGTGACATGACAATTTCACTGTCACAGAAGGTAAAAGTAATAAAAAGGACGATTTAAAGTGCAGTAAACGGTTAAAGCTTTGTTTGTTTTCCAGGACCTGTTGTTGTAAAAACAGCTTTGTAATCAGATTTCTTACATTTGAGCCAAATCACAAAAATGTCTTTTGGTGTCTCAAGCATGGTTCAATAAATTACAACTTTTATAAAATAAAATGACGACACACATAAAGATGTTGCTAAATAGCTCAGGCAGAATGTTACAAGTGTCAGTTTTAGTGAATGGAAATAATTTAGTTCATCCATATTTCTGAAAACGTATTTTCTCCATGGTTGCCACGTCCTCTGGTGCGACGCCATGTCTTCGTTTCAACAGTCAGCTTTATTTAGCTGAAAGACCATGTGACCGAAGCTTTTCTCTCAGAACTGTTCAAATATTTAGCTTTTTCCGAACCAGTATAAAAGTGTTACGTGTTTTTTTCCTTTGGTGTGACGGCCCTAAATTATTTTTTAATATACAAAACTGTTTGTTAAAGTACATAATTACAGAAACTAGAGCTAATGTGTGCTGCTAACTGCTAATGGCAGATTGGCTTGGTGTAGCATGGTCGTTAACTGGCACGAAAAGGCTGAAACGTCCTCTGGACAGTCACACCAGAGGACAGGTCTCTTTAAAACGCATGTTAAATGATTAATCAAGATTTGTTTCACTCCCTTGTTTTCTTTTGGTCCATTTTAGTGTTTTAGAGTTTTACTAAAAATTACAGTAAAAAATATTTTCAGCTGTTTTTGCAGAAAATGTGTACTGGTGTAAAGTGTCATGAAAATAAGTAATATGAAATTTTAGAAAGGAAGAACTGAGGGAGAGAAATGTTTGGGAGAGAGGACACGGAAGTATAGAGAGGAAATGAACAGGGAGGTCCTGAGAGAACAACCAAGGAAGTAAACTGATAGTATGAAATGATTTAGTGTTTGATTTGTATAACTTTCAACAGTTTTGAAAGGACGACATCAAAGTCTAACTCACTTTTACTGAAACGGTCCAGTTCAGGGGGAAAATAGTTTTATTAAAAATTTCATTTCTAATAAAACAGGATATGAAAACAGTGTCTTACAGTTAAGATGAATCTTTTTCATGTTTGTATAAAGACACCATCGGACACATTTACAGCGCAGTTCAGCCAAAATCATAATAATAATAATAATAATAATAATAACCCCTTATATTTTCTAAAAGCTCAGATTTGACAAAACATAAATGTTCTTTTTCTTTAAAAATGCTGTTTTAGAAGAAAATGTTTTTTTTACTGCGTATTTGTCAACTACCCAGGTACTGAGAGGTTTAGCTGGCGCTTTAATGTCCAGAGGGGACCAGGCTGACTGCTGCCCCCTGTGGTCGATGGAGAACTCTGCAGGACGCAGCTGAGAACATGTCGGACGGTTAAAAAGCATCCAGGTAAGAAAGAGATCCATCCAGCAGACGGGGAGGAGGGGGGTCAGGGGTCAGGGGTCAGGGCTGATGACTCTCGGGTGAAGATGGACTCTGCTGGTTCTTCACCAACACGTCCTCCGTGGTCTCGAGGACCAGCTCGTGTCTCAGTTCTCTGGTGATGAAGGTGGAACACTTTTCATCTTCATCATTATTTAAGTCTCAAGTCTCCTCACATGTTTCAGGACCCCTACCCTGACACAGGTCAGACCCCGGAGCCACTAGACCCCCATCAGACGGGACTTTAGGTTTAATTACAAGATTATGTAACTGTTCTGTCACTGCGTTATTGATGAATTACAGAGAAAATAACTAATTCCTCTTCTTGACCCTGGAGGACCCCACTTTGAGAACCACTGATATGAAGACGTGTGCCAGCAGCGGAAGGCTCGTCTTGATCAAGTAGAACTGATGTAGACTCAGTTATTCATTTATTCCTCATCTCTGACCCAGAACAACAGAACATTTTAACCAGCTGACTCTTTTCCTGGAGTGGACCCTCATAGTCCCACCCAGAAATATCCTGCAGCCAATCATCAACCAGCAGCGTTCCACACTGGTCTAGTTTAAAACCTGAATCCTGAAGAACACCTGCAGGAAACCGGATCTGACCGTCCGGTAACCTGAAACAGGTGATGTCACAGTAACAGCCCTTTGTGTTCCCACTCAGCTTGGGGAGACCCCGTCTGCTGGGGGTTCTGGACTCACTTGATCCTCAGACCTGAACCCGCTCTGATCCGTCGTGGACAGAAAGCATTTAAAACCTGATCATCATTGATCCAGACCGACGCAGGACGTTAAACGTGTAGTCTGCCCTGAGGGGGGCGCTACAGGGAAGCTCTGTCAGACCTCCAGAGGAAATAATCTGACATCTTGGTCAGATTCTTTCTGTAGAGGCGCAGCTACTGATTATTTCCATCATCTATAAATATTCTGATCGGTTTATTAAAAGTCCGTTTTCAGCCTGAAACCTGAGTGAAAAGCGAAAAACACAAACAGTAAAACATTTTGTATCGATCGACTTCTCGTCACAAATGGAATCTTGAATTTTTCCTGATGGAGTCGCCGGGTTTCACCTTCTGGATCATAAATACAGGAGAACATCAGCAGCTAGTCAGTGTGGACGTTACTGTGGTCTGTGGTGGACTCTGTCCTTCACAGACTTCCAGTTTACTTAGGAAACAAAGAAGGAAAAACACGGTGCTGTAAGAAAGAACACTGCAGCAGAGTTTATTGAAATGATCTACAACAGTTTGAAACAGCGACGTGTTCGTGGTCACTGAACGTGTCACAGGTTAACGGACAGATTTGGGTTTTACAATCTGATTTAATCCAACAAGCCAACATCAGGCTTCAGCAGAGTTAGACGGATCACGTGGAGGTCTTCCAAAGTCCGAGACATCGGGAACGTCCGAGCGCTCATGAAGGGCTGTCAAACAAAACGGAACATTAAACCTGCAGCCAACCTTCAGGACGAAGACACCCACGTGATCCGTGTAACCTCAATCTTTTACAGTGCAGTCCAGGTCTGAAGGGGGTCGGTGCGAACACAAGACGGACCGCCCGCCCTGCAGCCGTCGCGGCGGACTCGGGGCGGAGCGCCCTGCAGCCGTCGCGGCGGACACGGGGCGGAGCGCCCTGCAGCCGTCGCGGCGGACTCGGGGCGGAGCGCCCTGCAGCCGTCGCGGCGGACTCGGGGCGGAGCGCCCTGCAGCCGTCGCGGCGGACTCGGGGCGGAGCGCCCTGCAGCCGTTGGATTCATTTTCACTTCTCTTAAAATGAGCTACAAAGAAAAAACTGCTGTCCTGTTTGTTTGAGTTTGAGCCGATGCTGAAAAGAATCTTTACATGTTCTGTTAAAGGTTCTGGACTCATCAGGGCTGTAGAGTCCAGGGTAAAGGTCCGTTAGAGGATCGTTTCAGTGTTGAAACACCTGGAGAGGACTGGAACTGTGCTGGTCTGAGTCCTGAGCTGGTGGTGATGATGATGAGGCAGGACAGCCGTCCTGGTGTTCAGGGTATGTTGGGGGTCCAGGGCCCCTGGATCTGTTGGCTCTGCAGGAGCCTCTGCAGCTCCTTGAACTGCTCCACCGTCTGGTCCTTTACATCAGGGTTTGAGATCTGCAGCCGGATGCTATCTGTGGACCAGCTGAGTTCTCCAGAGAACATCTCCGTCAGGATTCGAGCCACCACAGGAACCACCTGAGGAAAACCAAAACCAGGTCACAGCCAGAACCAGAACCAGGGGAGGACCTCTGACAGATATATCAGCTGTACGTTGCTTTGGATAGAAGTGTCAGCTGGATGAGTGATTCTCTCTATGATACATTGTAACAGGGAGACGTCACAGTGGGCGGGGCTATGAGTGTTGACGCCACGTGAACAGACCTGCACGATGATGAGTTTTTTCTCTTTGGGTTTCTTGTCGGGCCAGTCCTCCCCGAAACAGAAGTAGATCTCGAAGGGGGAGGGTTCTGAGCTTCCCCCCTCTGGAACAGGATCAGTCCTGTGGACAGAAGACGGTTTGGTTAGCAAGCGGCTCACATGGTTCTGGACTTCCCGCCTGCAGCTACTCGTCACCTTGCAGGAACTCGTTGAGGCTAAACACTTTGATCTTCTTCTCCCTCTCCATGGGGTTTGGTAGACCCTGTTCAGGCATGCCCGGTCCGGACCAGAACACCTTACACTGACAAAGGCGGATGGCGTAGATGTCCTGCTCCCAGATCTCCAGGATCAGACCGCGGTCCATCACGTCCAGCAGGGCCTCTGTGTAGAACCGCTGCTTCTGGTTCTGGATCTCAGACGTCCCCGGGAACAAGACCTGCTGCAGGGTGACTGGTCCGAACAGCTCCACCTGCTCCGGGGTCGGCTCCAGGTGTCCGTAGTACAAACGGCAGCCCTGAGGGTTACTGACAGTCAGAGAGCCCGTGGTCCGGCCCCGGTACTGGAACTTCAGGTCCAGATCTGTTACTACGCCGAGAGACAGAGAGAGACAGAGAGAGGACTGTTAGTAGGGGACCAGGACCAGGACCAGGAAAATCAAAATGGTGCCACAGGAAAGTATAAATGAGCATGTCAAAAATCCAGCCTGCTCAGAGTGAAACATGGATCTGGATCACGTTTCACCACAGAACCTGTTCCACCGTTCACCACACCTTCACTGTGGGCGTGACGTCCAGGTGAAGCAACTCGAGGACATATAAACGAGTTGATCCAGGTGTTAATCAGACGGAGCCAGAGACAACACCTGGAGAGGAGCCGGGAGTCAAGTGCAGCACAGTGACAAGACGACGTCGTTACCTTGCTACTGAGCATGTGCAGCTCCCAACAAAGATTTTACAGAAGTGAGACGCTTCACTCAGAAACTAAAATGTTCAAGAGCTGCGGTGATGTGCAGTCTGAGCATTAAACCAAGTAACACGAGGGACCTGAAGATGAGCAGACGATAAGCTGGACCACCTGCCACGCGTCCTGCTTTAAGTCCAGTTCCCTGAACCTCCAGCCCGGTGAGGGTAGGCTAGCAGTTTCCCGGTCTCCCTAAACCAGGCTTAAAAACATCTGACGTGTTGCCGAGTAACCGGCCTCTGTTCTGTCACCCAACAGTCGTCTTCACCGTCGCCACAAGAACCGAACTGCACCTGGTGTCAGGAGGGGAGCTGCCGTGAGCTACAGGACTCTATAAACCAGGACGGGCAGCGCGTCTCTCACATCACCATCAAACCTCAACATCACAGGAATGACAGAAGTGTAAATGTAAATGCTCCGTACTTGTATAGCGCCTTTCTAGTCTTTTCGACCACTCAAAGCGCTTTTACACTAATCTGCATTCACCAGTCACACACATTCATACACTGGCGGAATAGCCGCCAGGGGCAAATCGGGGTTCAGTATCTTGCCCAAGGACACTTCGACACGCAACCAGGGGGGCCAGGGATTGAACCGCCGACCTTCCGATTAACGGCCAACCCGCTTTACCTCCTGAGTCACAGCCGCCCTAGTGGACTAGGAGAGGGTTGAGGACTCATTTCAACAGCTGCTGCAGGTCTTACTGGGTCAGAACTCGGGTTCTGCATCAGAGATGAGGCGAACAACGTGCTACAAGGACCGACTGGCTCAGTCCTGGACCCCGTACTCCCACAGCACCCCAGGTAAACCTTCTCCAAGTCCACAAAACAGTGGATGAACCAACTCCCAAGATCCCTGCAAGGCAGAAGAGTTGGTCAACTGATCCAGGACCAGGATAGACTCCACATGAATCCTGAATCTGAACAAGTCAGTATCAATGAAAAATGTGGACCTATCCAGCCCGTCTGGTCCCACAAAGATGTACTGGACACACAGATGTGGTTCTTTCTTGTTTCCCCTGAGCTGCTGGGCCGGTCTGGATTTCCCTGACAGGGCTCAATAAGGAGCATTTTATCCTTTAAACCACCAGAACATCTTAAACCCTGCAGCTCTGTCTCAGAGGACGGGGTCGTACTCACATGGGACGCTGCTCAGCAGGTCGTATTTGCAGGGTTGGTGGTTCTGAGGGTCCCCCTGGTTCTCTACATCCCCCATGCCGCCGGTCTCCATCAGGGCTGACACGGGGGGAGCAGAAGCAGCCGGTGGGGGCAGAGAATCCAGGTCCTGGGGTCCATTAGAGAGTCCGCCCGGATGGACGAAGCTCCCCTGATCCACCATCTGACCCCGAGCCAGGAGATCAGAGGGCATGGGGACGACTCTGTCTGGGACGAGCGGTACCGGGATCACATGTGGAGGTCCAAACGTCCCGTTGGTGGACAGACTGAACTGATTCACCTCTGCGTGAGCTGGGAAGGAGCTGAAGGACGGGGTCTCACTGGTCCTGGGGTCTGAGGAGACATCATCAGAGTCACGATCAGATTCATTTGTGTCACATCACAGCAGCAAGTGGACAAGAAAAAGCAGCTATTTTTACAACTTTAAAACAAGAGACGATGTATCCTGGAGACTTTAAAAAGGTAAGTCTACTCCCTCAGGTCCAGGTACTGCAGGTCCTCCTGGGAGAGAAAGTCTCTACTTACTGATGGTGAGCTCCATCAGGTTCGGCATCTGAGGATAAAACAGACAGTTGTTGCGTCAGAAAGTCAGGTGACCAAACTACACGTCATTTACACGTTTCACTCCTCACCTCCTCTTCATCATCTTCACCACCATCTGAAACACAAAACGCACATCAGGGACAAGCAGAAGTGATCTTTCTTCACCCAACTCCTCCACATCTTATTAATATTATATCAGAATAAAGCGCAGTTTGTCTGCAGCTCGTTAGTTTTCACCTCTGACACGCGCAGCTAGCAGCGGTGCTAACGCTAACGCTGGCTACAGTGTGTGATGATCAGCTGCATCAGTCTGACAAACTTAGAGACACGTGAACTAACGAGCGCCGGTTCGTTTGATCACAGTGACCCCGGAACAAAGATTTAACAGAATCGAGCTTCATCTGCGGCGCCGAGCAGTTTTTTAGCGTGACGTCAGCTCGGCGACGCTGTTTCCTGTTTCCCACAGAAAAACCAGGCGGAACCCCACCGGGTTCTGCTCCGTATCTCTGACAGGAAAGAAGAAGAAGAGGCGGCGTCCAGCAGGCGGCCAGCGAGGTCCTGGTTTCTTATTTCTTATTCTTCTCCTCAGCGCGGTCGTCTCGGCGCCGGTCGGCATTTAAATACACCCGCTGACCTGACGATGAAACCCGGTCGGCTTGTGTGAGAAGCGCTGCACAAACACTTCAGTAGATAAAACAGAGTAATGAGCCCTGATGGTGACCCGCAGTGTACCCGCCCCCCCAAATCCTGGTTCAGAGTCCAGAACCCTGGTCTGATGATTCAGCAGGAATAGAGTCAGCCAGTGAAACAGCGAGCACGTGTTTTAACTAAGAACAGCGTCGTCTTCATCAGGGTCCTGGGGAAGTGTTTGGTACTCAGTAAGATGAAGACCACGAGCTGAACTGAGCTGGTGAGACAACAAAGGTTTTAGAAAGACGTTTGGATCCTGAGGAGGGCCTCTGTGCGAGTACCACAGAGTACTACGAAGTGAACTACGCAGGTGCTTAGATCAGAGCGACGTCTACTTCCTGTACACGTGTGCGAGCGTCCTCACCTGTGTTGGCGGGCTGCTCACAGACCTCGTAGATCTTGTACGGTTGGACCGGCGTCTCTTTGGTGCCGTCGTATTTCAGCTGGAACTCTCTGCTTTTGTTCAGAGCGCAGCGAAGGTTCGCTTTCCACTTCGCAGGGTCGGGTTCATCCACGCCTTCCTGATACTTACCCGTCTCCAGAGCCCACGCCTGCAAGACAAAGAGCAGGGTTAACTACCGACAGCACATTTAAAGCAACAGTCTGTTGGAAATACTCTCGTGGAAATGTCAGTCAGGTGTGTTCCTCACACCACTGAATTAGCAGTTCACCATCAAGTGAAACCAGCAGCCGCTCCACCCTCTGCTGGACGGGCGGAGTAACACTATGTGAGTTTTTATAACCACGAACAGGAACAAACGCCACGTGCTCACTTTAAAGCAGACGTGTTCACAGGGGAGCTTTAGGGCTTTATGCTAAGCTAAGCTAAGCTAACCAGCAGCTGCTGCTGATTTCACTGATGTTGCTCTTTGAGGTGATGCAGTCACATGACAGGAAGTGTTTCAGTTTCACACAGAGCGAAACAGTCGGCGTCCTCACTTCATGCTGAACACGTGTCAGAGCACAGACACAAAAGTAGAAGCAGTGACCAGCAAAGGAGGAAGTGACATCATCAGCAGTGAGGAGCCAATCAGACCAGAGGCTCAAACAGGAAGTGGTGGACAGTTCTGCTGAAGTGGTCAGAGCCTCTTCAGAGAGGCGGCCGGACTCTGAAGGGTTCACGTCTCTATTTCACACGCCGTTCTGCTTCGACCTTCACCTGATAGCCGCTGAGACGCGACACCGGTCACACATTCACAAGCTAAGCTAAAGTGAAGCTAAGCTAACATGAAGCTAACCTCGTGACCCATTTTTCACTTGTGTAGGATAAAGGTCGGAGGTCAGGTGTGTCAGGGTGAACCTCACCTTGAAGATGGTGTTTTCCTCGTCTGACGCGGGCGTGTGGCGCGTGGCGTGTCTCCAGGGGATCTGGAAGAGTCTGTGTTCTGCACTGAGCCACTGTAGACCGGGATACCTGCCGCTGTTCACCTGAGCCAACAACCAGGGCTTCAGGCGGATCCTCCGGGTCTGGACGCTCATGGCTGTGGGTCCTGGTGGGGCCCGGAGGGGACTGGGAGCTCTGGGGGGGACAGGAGGAGTACAGGGTCAGGATTCAGACTCTCAAGGTGCTTCTCAAATCTTATTGGTCGTTTCCTCGCTTGAACCGGAAGCTGTTTCGCTCCGCCATCTTGCAGGCCGTCCCAAAGCTGCGAGGAGCGAGGATACACCGGCGCCTTCGCGGAAGTCTTCTCCTGACAGACACGCCCACTTATTGGGTAGCCGTTGTTGATTGGACATCAGGACAGAAACATTAAAGTCCAGTGCATCGCTGCGAAGTGTTCGGCTATATTTGATTTGTTGATTCACCGTCTAGTTAAAATCTGAGTTCACTGTAGGTCTGACCAACAAAACCCCACACAACTTTCTTCATTTAGCCTGTTTTAGATTCTTTTCTTTCTCCCGTCAGCTTTTATTATGCCTGTCGGCAAGAAACCCGTTTTCCCTCAGTGATCGTGCTCGTTCCCCAGTTTAGTCCAAACAGACGACGGTAACGCAGCGATCGATCGGTGACGATGTGATCTGCAAATAAAGTGTGACACGGAAACGGAGCTAAGGTAGACTTAGATATGAGTTACATCTTTTCAGTTTCCCTGAATTCCCCTGACATCAGCATCATATTCTGGGTCCATCAATAACAAAATAATATCAGCATCGTGCCAGAAGAAACGATCCTGCGAGCAGCAACCTGTAATGTTTCATCAGCTACAGAGGATGCAGTGAGAGACGTGAGAGGCGCCTTCAGACTGAAGCTGAGTGGCCTATAAATACAGCCCCTTTCACAATAAAAGCAGGGCCAATAACAAAATAAAAGTCTGGGTCAATACCTGCTGACCTCTGCAGGCAGCCAATCAGAGGGGTGAATCAGACATACCTGTGAGCGGGGGAGGAGTTAAAACAGGAGAGACCAGAGGACAGAACCAGCAGTCCAGGGTCCAGGTGTGTTCGTTGTGGAACAAGGAGTGTGTTTATAAAGGTAACCAGATGATCCTGGACCGGATCTGGATCAGCTCCTCTTCACCTGCTGGGGAGAGGGGGGGTCAAGGATGAAGCAGCTTGATAAACATGTTTTTGTTCCTTAAAGGTTTTGGGAAGTCAGTGAGTCACAGTCACGGGACCAGGTCTGAGATTAGTGAGACCAGGTCTGAGATTAGTGAGACCAGGTCTGAGATTAGTGAGACCAGGTCTAGAGTCTGATCAGGGATCAGCTTCAGCTTGTTGTTCAGGACTAACGTGTACGTTTGCGGGATTTGAATGATGGACTCACCTGTTCCTGGTTCGGGTCCCGGTCCTGCCGGTGACTCTCCGCTCCGTAGGTCGTTAAACAGCCGCGGTTTCCGGGTTTAACCGTCCGCAGCGTCACAGTGACGTCAACAAACAAACAAACAAACAAACAAAGCAACACCCGCCGTCAGAAACGAGCTGCTCACAAACTTCAGACTGAACCGGAACTCAGATCAGACCCGAGTCCGCGTGACGCAACGAGA